GTCAATCACCTGATTAAATGGTCAGCCCTTATTGGAGCAATAGCTTATGCATTATTAATAAGTTTTATAAAATCCAATTAATAGACATAAGTGCAACGTGATAAAAGAATATTGTGAAACTGTGAAAATCTGAAAGGTGACATAGAAGCCCCCTCCCTCCCACACACCCTAAGGTAAAATAATGAGCAGTGATRTGCAGTACCTTTGAGAGTCCTTTTATAGTACAATAGACATCAACTTGTACTGTAGGGTAACCTCTGCTACTCAGTACTTCATGACATTCAATCTAATTGAATTTATACAATTTTCATATCAAAATAACATTCTTAGGAATATTGTGGCATTGTATTCTTGGTGTGCAAGTTGCGTCATCGCTGCCATGTTGGATGAAAATCACAAAGTATTTCTTGTTATTCTCTCTTGTTTATTCATCCAACATGGAGGCGATAGCTTTGTTCTTGATTTCTCAGGGGATTCCTGGTCATGTTGTTGCACATGAAGAATAAAAAAATTCAGGAAGGTTATAAGAGGGAAATCGTATTTTGTGTGTTCTTAAATGGTCAAAGATCAGATATGAACTTAGTTTTTTTTATTGTTAATACTTTTTAAAAGTTGTAAACATATGGAATTATACAGAAATTAAAGTATTATTATCATTAATAAGTCTTTATATTTTCATTCATTTATCATGTAAATAAAGTTTATGCACTCCAGATTGATTTAGCTTGAAACTTTTATAAGATCTCTTGCTTGATGTTGTGATGCCACATTAAACCAAAGAGTAGTTGATTGTCTTCTTACCTTTGAAATTGTTGGAGGTTTTGAAATATTCCCAAAGAATTCCGACTAAATAAAAATAAATAAATGTCAACATTTCTAGCCTCTTCACTGACAAAATACCCGCTTCATAAACACGACGACACTTGCAAAGAAACTTTGCAAATTTAGACATGAAACATACCATATATCCATATATGTCCTCTGGTTTTTCCTTGAACATATCATTAAGTAGCTTTTCTACATGTTCAGGAACTTTGTTCTCGCTGTAATAAGCCACTGCTTGGCGTTTCATTTCAAGAGAATTTTGACCATTTACGGCCGCCATGTTGGATCTCCAAGGAAACGGGAATGTTGAAGGGAGCCTGGTTCTGGGGAAGTAAATATTGCAATGCATGATGGGTGTTTCAATTTTATTTTTTGTCAATTTTATGTGTTAATTTTACAATATGAGAAATTTTTGGATGGATTTAATATGTCATGTTTGATTGATATTAATAAAAAATATTTTCCTACAATAGCTGACAAAACCGTAGTCGCGAATGAGCCGAAGTTGGATATTATTATAAAGTAATTTCTTCGGGAATTTCTTCACCCATGTCTTTAACCTCCCCTACCCCAATTCAGCATTGCTTCGTCTTGTTTAAGATGACCAGCATCTGTTACATTGAGGACTACCAACATTGTGTCGGGGAAGAGGGAATGCAATGTCTTAAATGTGTAAAGATACATGTATACTATCTTATGAAGAACACGCATCTAGAGCACAGGCGACACAACATTATGTCCGACATTGTACGTCTTATCCGCAACTAATAAATTCCCCAGGGAAAGTAAAATAAAGCTAAAAACTTAAAATTAATAAAGCTAAAAGCTTAAAATTAAACTCACTAAAAAAGAATGAAAATAAGAAATCCAATGTGTTTTCACAATGCCAACAATAACGAACCTATTGGAAATAAACAAAGGGCAAAAGTCCTTCAAAGGAATGACTGAATTAAGTCAATTTTGCAAAAAAAAAATAATTCTTTAAAAATGAAAATATAATGATTTATCATACCATAAATGTGTTCTAACTTGTTTTTCGGGTTTCTTTATTTGTTATTTTGTATGTGGTTACGGCATACCACGCTCTGGTGAGTATTTTTTGTTATACATACTTCTACCTCTCCCTAAAGTGGTTGCCGCCATTTTTTTTAGCTCACAAATTTCTACTTCAAACAGAAAACGCTGCTAAAAGCTACGTTTCAAAAACTTCATTACCAGGTACTTCCAAATATGAGTTAACTGAACAAAACTCTCGATGCGGTTGAACTTTCTGAAAGTAACGTCCACCTACACAACTTAGTTTTATTGGTAGGGGACGATGTTTACAATGCCAACTTGATCAGTGCACTTTTTAAAAAATCAGAGATATCTAAAAGATATTTCAATTGCAGAAATTCTTAAAATCTTATGATGTACAACTTGTTCAAGATGTCGTTATTGGGTAAGTTTGGTGAATTGTCACAGACTTGTTCCGACAGTTGTGAGTAGATAGAGTTTAARTTTTAAGAACTTAGATGGGAGTGCTGCTTATAAAGTAAAATGCGTCTTTTCTCGGTAAAAATTGTCAGTGGAGCCACATAAATCTTAAATTTCAAGTAGCTATAAAACTCTAATTTGGATTACGAGCCAAAAAGTCAACTATGGCTGTTCTCGATTCATATTGATTGTGACACTTATCCATGGGATAACTTTCTGCAGCATCCTTCGCATGCTGCATATCTTTGAAAGGGTCTTAGTAATACGCCTTCCTCTTTAAATAAAGTGWAGGCAGTTGGAAAATGAAAACCGTTGTGGTCATCATTAGTAGCTTCGAGGAATCATTCATCGACAAAATGGCGCTGTTCAGACAGTGAAAAATATTTCTTGCAAGCTTGTTTGGTTATTCCAAATTCATTCATTTTTTTCAAACACCTGTTAATRTGAAGGGAATAGTTTCACTATTCAAAAATATTATGCGTTGTTTAGTGCAATCCACGTTTTTGCAAATATCTACTACTATATCATATCATGTGTCATGGTTACCATATWTTGCAGAAGACTTTGTATTATTGTTGACCATACTAGCTGCAACAAATATGTACACTTCATTTATAGTGAACATTCACATCTAACGTATGAACATGCTTACATCTTGACTTATAATCAACCTTTCCTCATTCACACAAAACATGTTTGTGTAGTTAAACTAAACAAGTGCACGCTTAAAAATTACAACCACAAGTTGTAGTGTACAACAACCACTAAATAATATAATCACTTGAAACAATTCTTCATTTTCCTATGCAGTTTTCCAGAATATGAACTTGCAGTTCCTCAATATCGAAATTAAAACTAAACTAGTTTTTGGTGCAAATGGGACATTTAGATAATTAAGTTTTAACTTATTGGTGAAACAACAGAAGCACACGACTGAGTACTTCTAAAACGATAACTTCGTCCTATACTATTCTTTTGCTACCACTAATACTTACTTTTGAGCTGGAAACTAGAACTAAATGAGTGTTAAGTTTACCTACCAGCACATCAGTGTGGCTGCTTTTCAACAAGCGACAGAAAATATCACTGGATCTGTGCTATATAGATGCTAAAGATCGAACTGATGCTGTAATAGTCTTCTGCTAAAAACTGCCTAACGCTGCAAATGCGATTTTTAGTGTACTACTTCACTGAAATGTGGTCACTCRTCGCTTATTCCTAAACTAGCTTGCTCAAGAAGAATACCGGCAAGTCACATCACCACATTTGCAAGAGAAAAAGTTTATTCCTTTTTATGCTTGTTATGCTTCACTCGTGCTGAAATCCCTGTGATTTTAGCTATTTTTACTGTGTGGAATTGCATGCAACAGTTCTTACAACTTTCATTTTGCAGATGTATTTCAAGATTTGCCAAAATTGAATTAAATTGAGATACTGATATATTCTCCTTGTCAATTTTTAATTTTTTTCCAATCTCAGTTTACTTCTAACAGTWTGAAAATATCGAATTTATAAAGAAGAAATTTTAACAATTTTATTACAATTTTCAAAGAATTGAGATGGCGTCCATTCCGTTCTTATGAAAAAACAAAGCATTTTAAACGAAAAATAAATCAGGAAGGAATTATTAAGAATTATCGYTCACTATAAACTACCTTCACTAGAAAMCAAGACGATAARTTCTACCCATAGTTCCTTGAAGGCTACGCTTGAAGATGAATATGGTGGGGATTGGGCATGCATGCTGAACTGACGTCATTACGAATTGAGCTTAAAAGCTATCAATAACGAAAAAAAGGCTAAAATAAAATACCTGATATCAATGTTACTTCACAAATGAACTGACTTTAATGCATAAAAAAGAAAGGAAAAAGTTTAGTTAAAAAAATTGGCTTGTATTCGGACTATATTGGAAGGCTGGAACCATTCTTTTGTATCGGCGTGCGTTAATATTTAAGAATTATTAATGTTTTGAAACTCTTCTATGACACATTAAAATGTTTTGTGATTAATATTATKATATCAAATATTTACATACTGTGAGTATAATTACAATGACGTTGTTTTAGATAAAATCTGTCTGAAGATTTTAAACTATTTTTGCGATTGGATAGCTAGGAATCAATCACTTACTTACCTCTGAATGTTATATATTCTCTCCACTCATGTATTCTTTGCCTCACTGCATCAGCTAGCTGAAAATATACGCAAAAATAGTCTATGATTACTTACTTAATGATTGTTCTCCTTTGATGTCATTCTATCAAATTATACAATTCGCATTACCAACATCGAGGTTCTTTWYAAYATGCGTTCCATCGTTTCARGCGACGAAATRTTTTCCAAAGGAACTCGCTTTTGGAGGGACTGTTTGATCTTGCATAAGTTTCCTGGATGATTTCGTAATTACGAATATTACACATATTAATCCGTTGTCACTCTCTTACAATTTGAGTCGTTTCAGCCAATTGTGAGCTTATRCCAAATYAGGCGACATGAAATCYYAAATATCCATACGAMTTTTTTGGCAAAMGTTGTCTTGATTTTAAGTAYGGGGCTAGACTCTTGATSAAAACAATCTAGAAAATAAAGAAAATGCAATACAAAAAGCGTTCAGCCGTTAGTTCCCAGAAAAACGGTTGTACGGTTCAGTTCATAAATGTATATGTAAAATTAATATTCATGACTTGAAGCCAAGGTGACGGACTATACAGACACTAATGAGACTCAAAGCAATATATCAAAAAGGTTCTTTTTATCAAATCGAACAGATAACTGTCAGAAAAAGTTCAATTTCCAAAGTATTAGAATAATAATATCGAGTGGTTATAGAGTATACTCATCATGTACACGTGTATCGCTTTATTAACAAACACTCAGTTTCGAACACAATAAAATTGCCTATACGCATTATACAATGAAGATTTGTAAAAATGTAAAAATATCTTTAGACATATTGGACAGGAAATCTCGATTACGTTCTTAATCTAGAAAAAATAAAATTTAATTAACTAGTTAATTAAAAATTGATTATTTTAGCCAAATGACTGAAGTCGGAAGTAGTTCCAGTTTTTAATCATAGTAAGGATTTCCTGAGCAGTTGTAATTGAGCTGTTGGACTGAGGAGTATGTTTGTAAAGTACAGTAGTTATTTTGTGTTTATAAATGTATAAATCAGGAAAAGCTTACTATAAACGAAGCAYTAAACGAACAATAAACTATAACATTTTCCATTATTTCCGCAACTACAACAAACCCACTCTTTTTCCCTAAATGAATAGTTTGAATTCTTACAAAAGTTTAAATAAGTCGTAAGGAAACACAAATAAACTTTCTTAATATCCTAACGGAGAAGATGGAAGTAAGATGATTTTTGCTGACAAATAAAACCTCAGTTGATTCAAAAAGATGAATAATAATTTGTCTCAATAATATAATAATTTGCCTCTACATATGTGCTTTTTAAAGAATCTCMGTGCTATGCTAAACCAGATATGCCGGATGAATTAACAAAACGAAAAAAAAGATTTGCCTTGCAAGGGCAAACCCAATATGGCGGCTTTCAAAAATCAYCAGATTTGACTCATTTTGTCAATTCGGCTTTTTTGACGCTATGGGTGACGCCAAAAACATAAATTTAAAATAGTTTTACCAAAAGTTGTGTAATCGCTAGCGCAACGGTCCTATATCTCACGGTTGAACAGTTTGAAATAATAAAACTATTTCCCTTGGCACGTTCAAAGATATATTTTCCCTCGTTTTAACTTCTGATTTCATCGCTAAGGGTAAAATATGTTATGTTATGTTATGTTCACGTTCAAAGATATATTTTCCCTCGTTTTAACTTCTGATTTCATCGCTAAGGGTAAAATAAATTTATAGAATTTTGTCCGGCATGTTCAATATAAAAGTCAGTCGAATCCTGAAGCCATCCAAAATCTTTGAGAATTTTCAAGGCAAGAAACTTCAAGAAGGAAATATCTAAGTTAAATTTTGCCGTTACTATGAAGACCATGATCGTTCTTATTAAAGGTAGGACAACGTTTATTTTAAATAATATCGCGGAAAAAATGTGTGTAGTAGTACAATATACTTACTTAATATCAAGCAGTTGCTACATTAAAAACTTTGTYAAAAGATGCACTTTGCACACTAAAAGTTCTCTGAACAAATATGTTCAAGACAATTACAAGACTATTTGGTCCTGCCGTAAATGCCAAAGACATTCCTAGCTTGGTGTGTAAACTTTATCAAGAGTAAGTTGATATGTAATCATAGCTTGTTGATTAATTTTCAGTGCTCGCCATTATTTCTCTTTACTGTTTGTGTACGGARGCCAAGCCGAAGAGCGCAAACCATGGCCACCTTTCAAAAAGTTCTGAGAGAGCTTTCAAATGCTACGTAAGTTTCACATATTGACTATAAAATCATCAAAAACAAAAACCATTAMATTCATTTTGATATTATTATAGAAAATCTTATGAAACAGGCATTAGGATTAAATGATTTCAATTTTTCTCCAACCAACTGTCAAACTGTGAAAAGATGTGAATGACGCTGGCTGATCCAACATTAAAAAACATTACCTTTTCTTCTTCACTGATGTATAATATTCATTATCTATCAACAGAAGAACGCGATGAAAATAGCACAACTTGGGGGCGGTGGACAATTGTGGAAACACCTTAAAGCATTTGGGCAGAGCAATGATCCATCGAGTCAAACAACAGTAAGAACGGTTCATATGATAACCAATCGATGCTGGAGTTAACATTGCTCAGAAGAAATAGGATAGGCTTCTCCAGAAAAGTTCAACCAGAATTCTTGATACATAAAACTGAGTWRRWTYMRRA